CGCTACGCGGTAGCTAACGGCATGAATTTGTTTGGCTTACGCGCTGCAGCTCACAAGCTGTGTCATGGAGGTTGTATGGACTGCCAGCTCATGATCGGCGCGTGGAAGCAACATGCCGCTGCTGGACTGGATCTCACCGCTTGACCGCAACACATCACCATCGGATTGGCCTGGGACTATGGTACAAAAAGGACCCTTGGCAGCCTCCCAGCGAAGAAGAAAAAAGAAGAAGAAAAAAGAAGGGGAGCAAGAAGAAGGACCAAAGGGAGCAGAGCAGAGCCGAGAACCTGCCTACCTGCCTGGACTAGACTACCATTGGAAAAACCCCCAGATCGGAACAACTGGCCCCGGTGGTGACTATTGCAGCGTGCTCTTCTTCTTCCTCTCTTTCTTCTTCCTCTCTTTCTCTTTCTCTTTTCTCTCTCTTTTCTCTCTCTCTCTCTCTCTAAATAAAAGTTTGTAGTGGTATTGACAATATATGGCCTCGTTTGTGCCTTAGTCTCTTGACGGGTATTCGAATCAGCAGCCCTGGTAAGAGTTCACCTCTTCCAGACTGTAACACCAGGCACCCGCTGAACCTGGCTCCCGTTCAAGAACAGCCGTCAGGAATCAGATTAGCATGAAGGTTATTTTCAGTTAAATATTTCTACAGCCCACCCCTTCCCCCTCCCTTAAAGGGATTGAATTTCTTTTTCCCCACAGTGCTCTGGAAGAGAGGAGAGGAACGAGGCAGGGGAGAAGGGGTGCCCGGGATCCCTGCATGGGAGAGCTGCTTTGTGTCCAGTCAGCCCAGGGTGATATACCCTCAGCTCCCACAGGGGCCCATCTTGCCCAGGCTGGTGTTTCAAGCAGCTGCAAGGGCTCTGGGCACCCATCTCTTCTGTGAGAGGCAGGCGCCCTGTGATGATGGCCAGGCTGCTGGCCAGGGCTTGCTGCCCCAGATCTCTTCCTCAGGCTCTCAGATGCCTCCCTGGGTTTGTGGCTGCCCGAGCCTGGACCCACGGGCCCCTCACTGTCTACATGCCCGAAGCCATCACCTTCCCCAGACTCAAGGACCACCAAGGCTTGTACAAGCTGTCAGTGGAGCAGGGGGACACCTTCTGGGGAGCACTAGGGAGGAGTCGGCTCACCTGGATCACCCCCTTCCACTCTGTCCAGGACTGCGACCTGCGCCAGGGCAGGATCTCCTGGTTCCTGGGCGGGCAGCTGAATGTGGCAGGTAAGGAGGGAGACGGACGTGGGAGCCCACCAAACGCCTGCAGGTGCCTCCCTGTGAAGGGCTTTGGCCCCAGGAGCAGATCGGAGGAGCACGGTGTTAAAGGGTTGGAGTGAGGGGGGTCCCCAAAAAGTCCAATTAGTCCTGCGGTGGCTGTAGTATAAGGATGTGGCTGGTCTTAAGGGAGCAACTGGCTTTCGCTGGAGGGGCTGCAGCTGGATCAGGGTGTGCTGGGAGCAGGGCTGCTCTCCCTCAACCACCACGAATCCCACAGCAGTGCAGTGGCTCCTTTCTGCAGGACCACAGGCACCCAACCCAGTGCATTCAGCAGGCAGCATTGCACTAGGTTATCCCTGCCCAGCGAAGGCAGTATGTATCTGCAGAAAGTAAAATACAGGAGCAGTGAGGGGTACTGGAAGTCCCCACAGCCATGGGAGGCTCTTCTTCTACGGGCAGGGGCTACTGCCTTAAGGGGACTACCAGGGGAAGTAGTCACTTCCCCTGGTACACTGTGACACTGTGTCCTGCTCACAGCGCTGTTGGTCCCACTGTTAAAAATACGAGACCTCTCAGAAATCGGGTCTTACACAGTCCATTTGGGCAGGAGAGCAGGAGTTACCTGCCTTTGGGATTTGACACCTTACTGTTCCCCCTTCTGTGTGTGTTTCTTTTTCTCCTGGAAAACGACAAAAGGTCAGAAGAAAAAGGCATTTTTGGTATGTAAACTGGGGCTGCTGCATCATCCCATGACCTCAGTAGCAGGTTTAAGGAAAACACAGAGTGGAACAAGGCTTCGGAGGAAACTGCAGCTGCCAGAAACATGGGAAACTTCTCGGAAGAATTACAGCCAAATCCTCAGCCCACCATGTCCCTGGAAAGCCAGGGGCTGTGCACTTCTGGTCCTGGTTCTCTTCCATGTACAAACGCACCCTGCAGTCTTCCTGCACAGAGCTTCACTTTGTCCTACATTTGTTATTTAGGAGCACTGCCATTAAAAACCTGCCCTAGTCCACCCCAGAGGCAGCTGCAAGGCAGTGCTGGGTGGAGTGATGGCTGAGTTAATGTTTGCCAGGCCCTCTGAGGGCACTGGGGATGTGACCTCCAAAGGGACTTCAGGCAGGTTCTGCTCTGGAGTGCATTAGGTTGCCATTAAGGGGGAAGCTGATAGTGGGGATTGGTAGGTATTGGAGTGGTGAGAGGGTAACGGGCTTGGGATGGTGCTTGTGATCTGCCAGCTGGTAACCATGAAGGTTGTTTCAGTGGATGCACCAGGCTAATGCTGAAAAGACTCACACGCAGCCCTGACTGATTTGAAAACAGGACTGCCAGTGCTGGCTTCATGGGAGCTAAGAGGTACTGAGGGTTGCTCTGGCAATGAGAGTGGGTCGTCTTTTCCAGTGAATTGTCTGGACCGACATGTCCATGTAGCCCCAGACAAAGTGGCCTTAATCTGGGAGAAGGATGAACCAGGAGAGGAGGTGCGGGTCACATACAGGTCAGTACTTATCTCTGAGTGTACGAGAAATGTATTGCAGCGTGCAGGAACGCTGCACAGGGCTGATCTGTTGATGTGCACCATGTGAGGGGATGCAGCATCCCTTCACATAGATAGATCAACAGTATGGCGGCTGTTGGCTTGCCTGTGCTGATCTGAGACTTCAGCCTACCTCTGGGCCCCAAGGGGTGCCTACCCAGCTGAGGAGGCAGATGTAAGTGCCTTGTGGCAGCACTGCAATGCTCGTAGGCAAGACCACATGGGAAAGTCACATGTGCCTTCCCAGCAAGGTTCCTGGTGTCTAAATTTGCAGGTAAACGGTCTGAAGAGAGGCCAGATTCACAGCCGCATGGATGTCGGGAAGTCTCGTGCTCATCTGCATGTCAGCAATGCTGCTGGGTTTGGCTTTCTGGGGGTGCTGCCTGTCGGTCTGGTGCCCCTTCCAGCTCAATTTGCCTGCTCTCTGAGTCTCCACCACAGAATCCACTTAAAACTCTCTGCACACAGAATAAGTCCCTCTGTCCTCTCTGGCTCCAGACCTCACATGACAAACAGGACCATCCACCCCTGCCAATCTCCCTGCATGGAGACCCATTCCATAAAATGAGTCACTGACAGCCAAGCCATGGCTTCTGGGAGGGACACTTCTCGGGAGAGGCATTGTTTTGCTCACTGCTTTCCTGCAGCTGTAGTTCTCACTGGTGGGCATGAGCTCTAGAGGACTTGACCTTCCCAGCTTTAGCAAAGCATAGAGCCCTGTTTTTTTTTGGGGGGGGTGATATTTAACTCCTCACATGTAGCCTCCAGCCTAACACTGTAGTGTGTCCCTCCAGTTGTACAGGCTGGTAAGAAATGTGCAGGCTGTCATTAGGAAAGTTGGCTGAGCTATCATGGGCTTGTGGAGCCAGAGGAATTGCCAGTGGCCATTGCTGGCCCTATGGCTTTCTCCTCATGCTGTCCAGTGAGAGCGTCAGGCTATGTACAGAGACCATTCTGATTTACTTCTTTTCCATAAATAACGGCCCATGTTAGTGACTGTCTTCTTTCCTTCCCACTGACATTCACAGCTCTCCCATGGACTACCAGTGTGGGGGGTTAGTGTGCATAGGGATGTAAGCTGCGTACCTGTGACCCTGAGGCCCCCCCATCTTTATGCGTGCAGGTAAGATCTGCAAGGAAGTCTCTAACTGTGCCATTGCTTCTTTGGGCAGGGAACTGCTGGAGCTGACGTGCCGCCTGGGAAACACCTTGAAACGGCAAGGGGTGAAACGGGGTGACAGGGTGACAATCTACATGCCCCCATGCCCACTGGCGGTGGCTAGCATGCTGGCCTGTGCCCGCATCGGTGCTGTGCATGCTCTGGTGTTTGCTGGGTTCAGTGCAGAGTCCCTAGCAGACAGGATCCGGGACGGTAAGAGCCAGTGGGTAACAGGGACATGTATTGCCCTTGGGTGACACTGCTGAGCTTGCTGGTTTGGCAGCTGAGGGGCTCGGGGTTGTGGTGATGGCAAAGGTTTTCTGAGTAAGACTCCCTGGGTTAACTGAGGATGTACAGCCATGGAGCAGGTATTAGCATCCCAGGAAATGGCATGGGCTCACTAAATATCTTCCAGCCCATGGGATGTACTGGTTCTCTCCTTCATCCAAGGGACTGATGGGCTGGGGTACACCATCTCCTCTGAGGGGGTGCAACACAGGCAGGAATGAATGAGAAACAAAGATGCAGGGCTGCTGGTTTTGCTAAATGGAGGACATGAGTAATGGGCTGGGAGACAGAGGGAGAGGTGCAGGGTCATGGCAGAACCAAACTGCTTGTGACTGATGGAGAAGGGCAGAGCTGCTTATGTGGCTCTTCTGCCTTCTGCAGCCCAGTCGGAGACAGTGATCACAGTGAACCAGGGGCTTAGAGGTGGCAAGGTTATTGAGCTAAAGAAGACAGTGGACCAGGCTGTGAAGCAGTGCCCAGGAGTGAAACGGGTTCTGGTTTCCATGAGGACTGACAGCAAGGTTCCCATGACAGCCCTGGATGTGCCACTGGAGGAGGTGAGGCTGCCTGGCACTACTTCCACTTCCCATGGGCAATGAGACTGCTTTGGGAGCAGGGACAAAGGGTGGAGAGAGAGTCCAGGCTGGCCATGGCAGTTTTGCTGGCATTGACACAATGTGGGGACATTGCCCTGCAGCAGCAGCAGCAGCTGAAGCTGCACACAAGTTCAGGACAGTCCCAGGAGCTGTCAGGATGGCTCTTCCCACAGCACCAGCCCTGTACTGTCACGGGCAGGCTGCACAAATCAGGGTTTGTAATAGGGTGGACCAGGTGCTAGAAATGCCCCAGACATAGGCTGACACATTGTGAGCCCAGCCTTGGACTGCCACTGCACTGTCACACGCCGCCCTGCTGGCAGACCTGGCACCTCTGTGAGCGCCGCTGGCAGCTTGTGTCTGAGGAAGCAGGCAGTGAGGTTGCTTGTGTGCCCGTTTTTCATGGCACACAGGATGGCCAGGCTGCCAGCATGGAGCACTGTTTCTGAAGAGGTGAGCCCCTCCCATTAGCTCCCTGGAGCTGCACAGAGGTCTTCCCACCTCTGCTCATCCCATCTGCAAGCAATTGGTGCTAGAAAGGCTTCCAGGAAGACTTCTGTGCTGGTCAGAGCAGCAGCAGCATAAAAATAGCTGCCTCTTACTCAGCAGGTCTGCTCTGGCTGAGAAGAGTATTTGCCAGCTCAGCAAGGCGAAAAGAGAGTTCAGGCTGGCGAGCAAGGGGAGCGGAGGTACAGAGGTGGGGAGGATGGTATGGGGGGAGCGGGGTTGAGGGGGGGCGAAGCTCAGAGGGAGGCTCGAGGGAAGAGGTGCACAAGTGGGTGTAGGGACAACACAGGGAAGCCTGTGAGACCCCAGGAGAGAACTGCTGCGCTCTCTCCTGCAGGAGATGATGAAGGAAGACGCGTGCTGTGAGCCTGCTGCCATGGACAGTGAAGACATGTTGTTCCTTCTCTACACATCAGGCAGTACTGGCAAACCCAAGGGTCTGGTTCATTCCCAAGCTGGTTACTTGCTGTTTGCTGCTCTCACACACAAGGTAAAGGATCCCAGCCACAGAGTGCTCACAGACTACCAGTTCATAGGTAGTGCAGGGAATACATATGCTGCCTTGTTGCGCCGTGAGCTCACCTTTATCCAGAGCAAAGTCTCTGGGAAGCCCTCCTAGAGCATCAGCCCAGTAGCGCACATCTGCCTACAGGTAGTGCGGAAGAGTAACACATGCTCTGGAGCAAGGCCTCCCAAACACACACCTCTCTGAGCTGCCTTCTTGGCTTTCTTTCTTTCACTGCCCTATCCTAGACTGAATCATTGAGTGGGATGTTCTGTCTTGCAAAGGTAATTTTATATAACTGGGTGAGGAGTAAGAAGTCTGTTTGCTCCTAAACCCCCTGGCTTGCTTTCCCTAAGCCCAAATACCCCTTTCCCTAACTACCCCAACTCAGGTGGGAGATCGAAAGCAGTGCTTCTGGGAGGGGCACATTTGAAGACATCTGCAAAAGCTGGTGAGTGCCCTCAAGACAAAGGGTCTATACCTGAAAAGTGTGGGTCATCTTTGGGAAGAGGAAAGCCTTTAACCCCTCGCATGCCCAAAGCAAACTCTTAACAGAGCTGGATAAAAGGGCACTGAGCACAGCATGGAGCTGCACTTGTCTGCAGGAGTGGTTGCGAGGGACATTTCCTAAGATGTTGTATGGAGTCCTCTGGAAGAGGAAATTTCTCCCTGAACGGTGCCTTACTTTTGGGTCTGGCTTTCTCTCTGTGTGACTGAAGTTCCAGTGGCGCCTCAGACCGTGCACCCTATAAGACAGCAAGCTCAGGGCTGGCTGGGTTTTCTGTGCCAGCTATGACTGCTGGAGGACAGACCTCCTGGGGTGTGTGCAGGGGGTGTGTGGAAGCTCTTGGTTTTCCTGTGAGCTAAGCTGCCTGTACAGCTGTGCGCAGCATGACATGTGAGACCATCAGAACTGGTTTTGCGAGAGCCAGGGCTGCCATCCCAGAATGGCAATGCAGGGAGCAAGCATGTGGCCATGTTAGCACTCAGGAGCGCTGGAAACTGTGACGCAGGGCTGGCACACTCAGATCTCTCAGTTGGATTGGGCAGACCACTGCTACCGTAATTCACCGCTTGGTTAAAAAGGGACAGAGCAAGCAGGGGAAGTTTCCATTACAAACATCCTGGAGCACTTGAGGCCCCGGAGTCCCCAGCTGGCAGCCTGCAGACAGGAGTCTGCAGGAAGAGACAGGAAGGTCTGAAACAGCAGATGCCAGAGAAGGTGAGAAGTGATGGGTGAGTGGGACACTGACCCCTCGAGAGCTTTGCTGGTGCTGAGTAAAGGAAGTGAAGGAGAGTGCTTGAGGAAGCTGGACATGTTTCTGCCAGTCTGATGGCACTGTTCTGCCCTGCACAGGGCAGCCATCGTTCCCTCATGCTCCAGCCTTGCAGCCAAGGGTGTCCTGAGGAATAAATAAGGCAGCGGGAAGCGCTTGCTCCGCTTTCTGCCTGCAGGCACAGGGCTGCGCTTACCCAGCTGGGGCAGCTCTGGGCTGAGGCATCTCACAGTCCCTCTGCTTGCTGCCTCAATGCTCCTATGCTTGGCTCCTTGCTGAGCTCAGGGTTTTCCTGAGCTTGGAGCCCAGCAGCGCTTGTGGGTGGCTCATGGAGTCCTCCATCACATTGCCCTTGCAAACAACTCCTCTTCTCCCATGTGGTCATGTAGGTGCAGAGCGGACCATACTCACCCTGAAAGTTCTCCTCTTTTGATGCTACCAGACACTTGGATATCAGTCCTGTCTAGACACCAGCAGAAAGAAGGAAAGGCTGTAAGGAAAGGCTGTAGCTGTCTTCTTAGAAAAAGAGCAAATTTGGCTGTGGTGTTGTTTGTTTGGGGTTTTTTTAAGTGTCTCTCTTGTTCTGCACCTTCATAAAGCACCTGACTTTTTTTTTTTTTTTTTTTTTTTTTCCTGATAATGTTTTAAAAAACTCTCTGCAGGAAGGTGTCCCTGTAGGGGTAGTGGGAAGACAAAAAGATGCAATAACATTAGGGCTGAGAGAGGGTACACTGCTCCCCGTTGTCCCCCTACCTGGGAGGGCAAGCCCAGCCTGTACCCCTCACAGCCTCTCCTCTCTTGCACAGTACGTGTTCGACTACCAGGACAGGGACATCTTTGGTTGTGTGGCAGACATTGGCTGGATCACGGGGCACACCTATGTGGTCTATGGCCCCCTCTGCAACGGTGGCACCACAGTCCTTTTTGAGAGCACTCCTGTCCATCCTAACCCTGGTAAGTGAGAAGGTGTCTCAAGGCAGCTAGGACATGCCACAGCCACCCTGCAAGACCCACAGCAGACAGAGAGCTGGTGGCTTGATGCCAGGACACAAGCAGCAATGCTTCTGCTGCTGCAGGAGCAGACAGCAGGCTGGGCCCAGTGGTGAGCTGCAAGGGGAAGAGTCTTTTCCTCTGGTTAGGAAGCCACTGCTGCTTTTCCAGGCATGAAGCTGTTTCTCCCTGTCCCTCCCCGCAACAGGGAGAGCAGCAGAGCTAAGTGATGTGGAGAAAAAGAGGCCACTGCTGCTCCTGGACTGCTTTAGTCCTTCCCAGCATGGGATTAGCTTGGCTGAGGGTCCAGACACTGCTAGAGAGCCCTTGCTCTCACCTCCTCTCCCTCTATATCTTGGTCTCGGGCTGTGAGGACCTGTGTGGATGTTTACTGGCCCTGTTTTCATTCAAGGCCGCTACTGGGAAACAGTGGAGAGGTTAAAAATTAACCAGTTCTATGGGGCGCCCACCGCCATCCGCCTGCTCCTGAGATACGGTGATGAATGGGTGAAGCAGTATGACCGCTCTTCTCTCAAAGTGCTTGGCTCAGGTAAGCTTGGTGGCATGGGCTAGAGCAGCAAATCGTCGGGCATCAGGTTGTGCCTCTTCCCACAAATGCGAAGAGCAGCAGCACACGAGAGCGGAAAGTCAGCAGACTGCGCTACTTGGGGGTGGCTCCATGAGCAGGCCCTTGGAAGCTCTATCTTTGACCCGATCTTTCAGCTCTGTCCCCTTGTCTTTCCCCTTGCAGTGGGGGAGCCCATCAACAAGGAGGCGTGGGAGTGGTACTTCCGTGTAGTCGGCGAGACACGGTGCCCAGTAGTGGACACATGGTGGCAAACTGGTGAGATGCGTATGACCCTTCATCCCAGCTTCTGCTCTCCCAGGCTTTAGGAGGGACCTGCTGCCTTGTTGGCCAAGTGGGAATGGTTGTTACTGACACTCTTGTACAAGCAATGCCATAAGGGCCCACAGGCACCAAAACACAAGAGAAATGGCCTTTAAAGCTAACCTAGAGAAACACGGGGGAGTTGGGGTAGGGAGCAGGTCTCTGCTGAACTAAACCAGCAAGACCATCGTTCTGCAAATGGTCTCCCCCACCTCCCTGGCAAACCCAGCTCCAGCCTGTGGTCCTGCAGGGTGCCATGAGGGCCAGGGCAAAGACTGTTGGCCAAGCAGTGCTACCTGGCTTTCCTCTTGTCCCTGACTTTGCTGAGCACTAGTTTCTTTTGCTTCAGAAACAGGAGGCATCTGTATCTCACCCCGTCCTTCTAATCCTGGAGCCGAAATCCTTCCAGGCATGGCTATGAGACCCTTTTTTGGGATCAGTCCCTCCCTCCTGGACGACAAGGTACATTTAAAACCTGCAGCCCAGGCACTGGCTCAGTCTGCTTCCCCAGGCGCTTGCAGTGTGTACTTGCCAACGGGAGTGGAGGTGTGTAAGCACACCTTTCTTGCTCACCTCTGCTCGATGGCAACCTTCTTTACTGGAAACGGACTAACAGTGAAGCTGCTCTTCCAACTAGTGCAGAAGCTGTTTTCTAGCTTACTCTGTCCTGACAAGACAGGCTGTGGTTGGGCTCCCTGGCACCTGTGTTTCCAAGGTAAGGTAGCTGGGCAGGGACAGCCAGCCTCCCTGGAGGGGCCCTGTGTCCCACCATGGTAGGTAGCTGGTTGCAGATACCTGCTGGGAGAGACTAAGCCTGTCCTCGGGCACAGGATTTTCCTCGCTGCCTTCCCTGATATTTCCATCTCAGGCTTGTTAAACAGGCAACACTAAACATCCTAAGTACCTCAGCCATGGTTACTAAAAGGTAACATTTTACAGGGAAATGTCCTTCTGGAAAACAACGTCTCTGGAGCCCTTTGCATCTCGCAAGCCTGGCCAGGTATGGCACGAACAATATACAATGACCACAAGAGATTTCTGGAAACCTATCTGACTCCTTATCCAGGTAAGGAAAACGTGTGGCAGGTCACTGCAGAGGGGTTTGGCTGGGTAGAGTTGGGTCTGCCTGCTGGTTTTCTGCATGGGGGCAGGACTCAGGAGAGCTGGTACTGCTGCTCCATTCTTCTACAGACTCTCCACCTTCCACAGGCCCTTCATCTTTCCATGCCCCATACACTGCCCTGGGAATAGGTCTCTCTCACCAACGTTCCCCATCAGATCACCTGTGATTTAGAGCAGTGGATTTGTCCTTCTGCCCCCAGTCCCCTCAAGCACAAAAAAGCCGCTTGGTGCATCTCTTGCAAACCCTATCGGCTTCTGTCACTCATCCAGAGGCACTGAGCAAGCCCAAGAATGTGTGTGTCTTGACATGAAGCAAACGGGAGAAAGAGCAGGACCACACTGGAGGCAAAGAGCTCCCAGCTTGGGGTGATGAGACAGGCTGGGCATTAACCAGCACACTGCAGAATGAGGGAAGGAGCCTGACGACAGAGCAGGTACCAACAGAGGCAGAAGACTAACAAGGAAGGTAGGCACCTTTACCCTGAGCAGATGAGAAAGGAGCAGAGCACATAAGCCCTGGTGCCAACAGAGGGGAGAAGGGGGCGAGACGAGAGTGTGACTAGCGAGCAGCTTGCATGCTCACTGCAACAAGTGACCATGGCATGGTTCTGGCCACTGCAGGGTTTTTCTTCACTGGGGATGGCGTGTATCGTACCAGTGAGGGCTACTACCAGCTGACAGGACGGCTGGACGACATCATTAACATCAGCGGACACCGGCTGGGCACTGCAGAGGTGGAGGATGTTGTGGTAAGAGGTGTGGGTGGGAGGTAAAGCCACCCAAGGGGACAGGGAAGGCACACTGGTGGTGCTCAGGGAAGCCTCTTTAAAATACCCAGACAGAAACATGCTGCTGCTGTAGCAGCAGGGAACAGTGTTGGACCCACAGCCTGCCTGTGGAAATAGCTTCCCACTCTCTCCCCTCTCATTCCGTCTCTCTGCAGCAAGGGAGGGACAAAGTCTGATAAGGTTGATGCTGTAAGTGGGCAAGTCCCAAAGCGGCAGCCAGGCATGTTAAGGAGGTGCATCTGTGGGCCAGTAATGTTTGTGAGACCTGGTGTCACAGAACAGCGTCTAGAAGGTGCAAACCTAAAGCAGCCAGGGACCAGGGAGAAGACTTGTGTTTGCAGACAGACCTGCTGAGGCAAGGAAAAAGGGCAGAGGCCACCTGAGGCCCTTCCTTGTCTCTCTGCATTACTGTGGGCTGCAGCAGCCAAGTCGGGTCGGGGCAGCTCCCAGGTGGCAGCGAGCCTGCAGAAAGCACCAAGCCAAACGCCAGCCCTGTTCTCTTCCAGAATCACCATGTGGCAGTGGCAGAGTCTGCTGTCATCGGCTACCCACATGAGATCAAGGGAGAAGGTAAGATGCTTGCTTTTCTGCCCCTGAAACATCTCTCCCGGGGCTACTGCACCGCGGTGGGAAGTGGCACTGTCACACCAAGCCCTGGTAGCAACGCTGTGCTAGCGCCATATAGCACGTTAGTGGGGATCGCGGCACAGCCATCACAACCTGCACAAGACCAGCTGGCCTTTGCATAAGGTAGCAGCAGCAGCACCATGGCCAAAAGCACTTACAGCTCAGGCTACAGAGCATCTCCTGAGGCTACCCTCAGAGAGAGATCCCTCCAGGCACTAGGTCCAGGCAGGGTCTCAGGAGCATGCTGGGCACAGTGCTCAGTAACCTGGTGGCCCTTCTGCCAGGAGCCTATGCATTTGTTGTGCTGAAGAAGGACAGTGGCTACACACAGGAGACTCTCACTGCTGAGCTACAGGAGCTGATCTCAAAGAAGATCGCCAAGTACGCGGCTCCAGAGTATGTTCAGGTAACATGTGCAGGCTGGTCCAACACCCACCCCAACAGCCTCACTAACCCCTTTCCCTCAGCTTTAGCTCTGCTCCTCCCTGTCCCAGGTCACGCACCGGCTGCCCAAGACACGCTCAGGGAAGATTATGCGTCGGGTGCTAAGGAAAATTGTGGAGGACAAAGCCAGTGAGCTTGGCGACCTAACCACCCTGGATGACCATGAAGCTGTGCAGCAGATCATAGAGGGACACAAGCACCTGATGAAGGGGCAGAAGAGCTGCTAGCTTGGCTCTGCCAGCAGCCACCTCCTGCTCCTCCACTGCAGAACCAGGGTCACATCCAGAAATGTCACTAAGCAACTGGTGGCCAGTAAGTGCTCAGTGACCTCTCCGCAACACAGGACCCCCCAAAACCTATGGGAGGCAGGGGAGAGAGAACACAATTCATCATAGGCAGAAGGGAAGGTGAGCTCTGTTTCCTGCCCTGAAAGCAGAAGGCCAAAAGCCCTCCTTGGGGTTCCCCGAGCCTTGCAGTAGCTGTGGACGTAGCACAGCAGGGCAGGATTCCCAGCCCTGGTTAGGTATATTACTCCTACCCCTGCTCTCCTCTTCAGCAATAGTCTAGTCTAGGACCATTGCCAATATACAAGCATCTCCTCCAAAGCAAACCCCAGAAGGAAAAGATGCAGCAGTCTGGTTAACAAATAGTGACCCTTCTCCATAAACACTTGGAAATCAGGCCCCAGATTTTAACACAAATGTTCCTTTGACCTGTAACTCTGTGTCATAAGGAGAGCAGAGATATGCTCCTTCTCTGTGCCAGCATTCTCCTCCCCTTACAGTGCATCCCTTGGCTCCTGCTGGGGAGCACAACCCTCAACAGAGCCACAGATACAGAAGTCTGTTCTGCAGAGCTGTGTATCAAAGAGACAGAGGTCCCAGCAATGCACAGAGGGCAGAACAGGAGGCTGCATCCCAGCCTCACACCACTGCATCCGGGACAAGTGGAGGTTCCTCTGGCCATTGCTGCTACAAGCCCCATGAGGCAGCACCTTCTCTTTGGGCAGCCTAACAGCTCAGTCCTTTTCCCCATGAGAGGCAGGGAGACAGGAGAAGGGGGCTGGGAGGACGATGGCATAGATGTGTCTGCTCCTGGCAGAACCCCACACCATGAGTTCAGACTTGGCTCTGTGTCCATCAGCAAAATCCAGAATTGGTCTTGCACTAGATGAATCCTTTGTTGACGGCTGCTGGCTCAGCAGCTCCATCTCTGCTGTTCAGAGCTCTCCCACGTGTGTGCAGGTTCTGCGGCTCACCAGACAAGGGCATGTTTTTCAGCATCCTTCCCCAGCTGGGAGACGCTTCATCTTCTCACATCGAGTGAGCTCCCATCTTCCTTCCCCATGAAGTTTCAAAATCCAGCTGTGGAACTGCAATTCAGTAACACAACAACTGAGGGATGTCTCTATGAGGGCATGCCCTCCCGCAGTGAGGCTCTTGAGCCCCAGTCACTCTGCTCTGCTTGCCTCTCTACCTCCCCTGTCTTGCCACCTCCAGGGATGCATGGAGCGCTGTCTCCCCATCTCACCTTTTCCAGGCTGGCCCTGTGTCCCACACTGATTAGCGTCATGCCCAGCTGAAGGCACACACGGTACAGTTCGTGCTCCACCTCTTCTGTCAGGGCACTGGTGGCTTCATCTAGCACTGAGAGAAAAGTTGTAAGCCCTACAAATCCTCTCCCAAGCAGTCATCTCCCCCTAGGCAAAAGAGCCGCAACTGCTGAGAACATTTCCCAAATTAACCAGAGTTCACCAAAGGCATCTGCAGAAGACAAGTGAGGAGAAGCCTAAGGACTCTGATTTTCCTCTGGCACAGCCGGTGTCAGTCACCTGAGAAAGCTGCCCTTCCCCACAAGCCCTTGAATCCACCCTAACAGCACCGTTCACCTCTTTCCTCTCCCTCAACAGCTGCCTGCCACTGCCTTGTCCCCACTGTTGTGAAACTCAAGACATGACCTTCTCAAGGCAGGCTGTGTGCCAGAGCGCCGGGCTGAGCAGCAGCCTGTGCACCCTTCCAGACCCCACCTGGAGCATCCAGAATGGCCTGAGGCACCTTCCTGTCAGTTAAGGGTAAATACTACAGACCTAGAGCAGATGAATTAAATTTGTTTTATATTATCTCTACAGCTTTTAGTTTGCAATTTGCCCAGACAGCACTGAGCCAAGCTGCAGGCTTCAGGGGAAAAGAGGTACTCACACGTGCCTACTCGCTACCAACACTGTCTCTGTTCACTCACACCCACCCTGGCCCTTGTGACAAGTCCTCCAACAGCCCCCCACCCCCCAGCAGTCACGAGCAATCTAGGTGTGCAAAGGAATTATCCCTGTCTGCTAATGGGAGCTGCTTCTGTGATCTCTCAGGACCATTTCTCCCACTGCTCCTTGTCTTCTTTTGCTGCATTACAGCTAAATTTCCCACATTGCTTCCACAACCCTGCAGAGGTTCACAAGCTTCAGTTACGGCAGCTGATGCCATGCTCCCTAGCGTGCATGCTTCTTTACGTGGCAACTGGTGAGCATGCTTAGGGGTGGCTTCTTCAGGTGCCATCAGACCTAGACCAAGAACATTAATCACCAGTTCCCTAAAAGGACAATGTCTTATATACAGCCTCTTGATTTACCACCCTCCACAGAGATAACAAAATGTTTTCACCCCTGAAGCCTTTGTGTGCTACACTGCTAAAACAACGGCTAAGACAAAGCACATTCCTAGTAAAGAAGGGATTTCATGAGCTGTCTCTGTACCAGCTTCTCTTTACACCAAAGGACCTGGCTTTTTTTTTTCCTGCCCTCTTTTCTTTCGCAGTCACTCACTCACCCGCATATTTTGGCTGGAGGTAGAAGAGCCTTGCAAATGAGAGCCTCTGCATCTCCCCTGGGGACAGGATGTCATACCTGCAGCAGGGTTGAGATTCAAAATCTCCCTCAACAAAAAGAGCTTATGGTTGCTGACACTGGAGACCAGAGCAAGCAACTGTCCTTGTGTGTCCCCCCTCCTTCCTTCCCTGTGCACCCCTGTGCTGTCAGCTGCCTGCAGAGCAGCATGACTGGTGATTGCTGGCATTGATGCCTAGGGCATGGAGGCTTTGTCCCTGTATACTGCCCACTTCCCACAGGACACAGATGTTCAGAAGTCCAGCATCAATGTGCATCTGCTTAGAAGTGCTCCCCACCCACAGGGATCACCCAAATTCATGCAGATGTCGAGCTCCCTTACCAGTTCCAGTCCACCTGCCGGTCCAGTCCTCCAGCCCTCACCAGCAAATCAGTCTGCAGAGAGCACAGCAGACTTGTGAACACAGCCCCCAACCCTATCAGCCCACGGCCCTGAACATAACCACTCCTTTCCTGCTACTCTCTCTTTTCCCGCTTGAGCTGAAGTTGCTCCATATCCCTCCTCCTCTGCCTGTCCCATGGACAGTCCTGTCCCAGCTGCAGACAATGTCTCCACATGTGTCCACCACACAGTCACGCTGTGCTGCCACAAAACCTTATCCCTTCTTCCCTTGCTAGCAGCACGAGGAAACAAGGCAACAGCACTACTAGGGACTCACCAGCCCAGCCAGCTCCAGAAATTGCACAATTCTCTCATCATCTGCAGACCCTAGGGGAAAAGGCAGTAAAGCATAAGCAGAGGCAATGTGTGCTGAGGTCACAGCTGCAAGAGGAGTCAGTTGCAGGAGGGAAGAACTGCAGGATCTCCTGAGATCCAGTGCCGCTGACTCAACTGCTTAACTATATCAGGTCCTGAGCTCTGGCACAAAGAGCTCCCCCAAAGACTGACCTTCCTTAAAAACATTAACCACACCTGTAAGCAGCATGCCAGGAGGTAGCTAGGCTCCAGAGATACTCCTGAGACTTGGCTTAGTCCATGGACACAGACAGACACAGCCAGAATACAAGGATCCAGGCTTCAATTGCCAAGGCCCTGCCCACCAGCTGCTCTCCTATGGCTGACTGCCCACCATACGCTGCAGGTGGTGGAGGCATGGGAGCAGGCCTCAGGTAACAGTCAGCAAAAGGATCCTATGTGGGATGGGAAAAACCTCAAGGTGAACCAGCTGTGGAGTAGAACACACACGTGAGCGGGTACAGTCAGCAGCTATGGCAGCTGAGCAGAAGGGCTGTGCATCTGCCATGGATGTCTCTGAAGCTGCTGAAGAAGTGCAGCTGATGGCTGCAGTTACTCTCTGCAAGACTGTGACTCCCAAGTGTTTGAAAGCAGCATGTAACACTGCTTCACTCAGACCAAAACCTAAACCTGGACATTTGCAAGCTGCAGCAGATCACGTGTGGTCTGGCTTGCGATGAGGGCAGGAGAAAGGAATGATCCATGTAGTCTGACCTTGACAGCATACAAGGCCCTGGGACATCATTTGAAAAAGGAGAACAGTGAAAGATGGAGGTGGATGGAAAATGAAATGAAGGCAAATATGGCTTGCCTGAAGGCAGGTTGTACCAGACAGATCAGATGTACCCCAACAGCAAGATGCCTCAACATATATCACACGTCTATAGCACAACATGCAGAGCATGGCCAGCTTGTCCTCACTGTATCAAGAGAATATGTTGTCTCCCAAAACGGAGGGAACACAGAGCTGACCTTAACCTACACTAAGGTAAATCTTCCAGAGAAAAGCAGAGAGCAACAAAAGCAGAATGGATGAGTGCTCCTGATGGGGCGCGGTAGGGGAGAAGCTGCACTGGGTGCAGGACAGGGACCTGACACCACAGGGTTGGCTAATTGCTCTAATGAATTTCCACATACCTGAAATTGGATAGATCTCCTTCAGGGGATAGATCACCTGTTTAACAGAGCAAAAGAAGACACGTCAGCAGGAGCTGGACACAGTCCATCAGAGACGCAACGGTGGTGGCACGAACTCAGGCACGAGGGAAGGGGCGGTCAGAGGCATCCTCCCCTCTTGCAGGCCTTGCTGCAGCATGCAGGTTCGCAGGGCACAACCACAGTTGCGAACATTGCTGGGGCCAAAGTAGAGGCAGCCCCTGGGCTCACCTGCTCACGCAGGCTTCCGTCGGTGAAGAAGGGCCGCTGTGGTAGGAACACCACTCCCCGGGGGCCAAAGCAGGTCAGCATCTTGATGCTCCCTGCACAGAGACACACTCATGTCAAACCTGCAGCACCAGCCAGCAACTCCCCACAGGCCCCTGTGCAGTCCTGCCCCATGAAGTAGCCAACAAATCCCAGAAAAGGTATATTTGCAACACAGGGCAAAGCAATGAGAGCCAGAGCAGAGTATGCAATAAAGACATGGGAGGCTCCAATGCACCAGTGACACATTCACCATCACAAGGTGGCATTGGCCTCACAACCCCACGCTGCCACCTTCCAAACTCAGGGCAGCCCTGGCTAGAGAAAGAGAAGGCTGCGGCAAGCAGCAGTCCTTACCCCGTGTGCTCTCCCAGAGTCCCCCGAGGACCCTCAGGAGAGATGTTTTCCCTGTGCCAGTGTTCCCCACAATCATCACACTGTTTCCTTGTGAGATCCTGAGGTTCAAGTCCTTGATGAGCAGCTTGCCAGAGGATGGCACCGAGAGTGTCACTCGCTCCAGAAGGAAAGCTGTGTCCCTTGGCTCTGGGTCCTCCCCAGAATGGCTGCTGAGCCACCACCAAGGCAAAGAAGGAGAGATCTGGGGGTAAGCAATCATGCTGAAACTGGCAAAGATGAGGCACCTTAGACCTCCTGTGCCTCTGTGACAGCAGCTCTGCCCCATGCACCCCAGGAACGACAAATCACAGTGAGCACTGCCTGCTCCAACCAACTGCATGCAACAGGCTGTGACACGAAGGGCCACCTCCATCCCATGACAGCCCCACACTCTGGTGCACAAGCTGCAAGCCAGCCAGTTGCTGAGAGGAGACTCACCTGTCCAAATCCCAGCTGGCTTTGGCTTCTGAGTAGTTATCTTTTTTTTTTCTGCCAAGGCTCAGCAAAGTCTCCTGCAGCTCACCAATCCTAGACAAACAAAAGTTTGCATGAATGCCAGGGACAACTCCAGCAGCCTTCTCACAACATCCAAACTTCTCTGTGCTTGCTCACAAGCACCTGATTTTTATTTATTTAGCACAGACCTGGGCAGAGCCTTGTCCCACACCTTCCTTTCCTGCAGAGACCTGCCCACAGAGCAGCTCACCTGTGCGTGTAGCCAGCTACGTCTGTCACGGTGCTGGAGAGATCTATGAGCCGGCTGAAGCAGCCGATGAGGTAGATGGAAACAAAAGCATTCTGGGGAGAAATCACATGCCAGAGCAAGGGTCAGCACTGAGCTTTGGCACCCCTCCTCCATGGCTGCAAGGAGGCAGCCAAGGAGGCATGATATTTGGCCACATCAGCAGTTCCAGCAAGATGAACGAGGGGTGGAGAAGTCACTCAGGGCAGTGGGAGTGAAGGAGAAGATGACCATATTTGGATGGAGCAGAGCTTCCCTGCTCAGTACAGCAGTTTTTGCCAGGTGGACACATCTCCTCCCACCCAGGGATGGTGTTTGCAGAGTGCCTGCTGGCCAGCCCGTGGCCTAGCACACTCGCCCTAAGTCATGCAGATCCATGCCACCAGCCCTGCCCCAGCACCGCACATGGCTCAGAGCAGGTGTCTCAGCCTGCAGTGCCCAATCAGCTATTTTTAGATCTGCATTCCCTATCACAAGCCAGTTTTGAGTATGTGGGAACGAGTCAGGTCAGGAAGGAGAACACAAGCCAGCTCAGCCTCACAGGTGGCCAGGCCCACCGTGGTCAGCAGCCCAGGGCCTAACCCAGATCCACAGCACTGCACGGACCCAATTCCCCATCCACACTGCTGAAAGCCAGAGGCTTTCTGACCTCCTGGGTTTGTTTTTTTTTTTGACACAGAGGTCTGAGCTAGGAAACACTTACGTAGATGTGTCCTTGACAGCTCTCATCCCCAAGTTAATCATACACCAGCTGACTCCAAGCTCCCATTACCATGTCACCATGGGCAGGGACAGTCTAACCTCAAGGTCAATTGCTGCAGGTTATCTAGACCCAACGCCAGCAGCCTCACACAAAACCTCCATCCTCAGTGCCCGCTCACCCTCCACAACGGGGTCTGGGAGATGACCCTTAGCTCACCTTGCTGACGAGGGCGCTGAGTTCTGTTGGACTCAGGTCGCTGTAGACCCCAGAAAAGATGGGAATGGCAATGACGACATAGCTCAGGATGCTGCCCAGGTAGTCAAAGGTGTTGATCCCAACTGAGCAGAAGCACATTGAGAGAAGACAGTGAGTTAGGGTGTGAACCTCTGTCCCAGCTGGGCTCAAGTGCAGCCCATGAGCCTGCTCAGAGGAAGACCCATAGTCAAGCCTCAGCCCTTCATGATGCACCAGAGCAGAACCACCATTTCGCAGGTCAGCACCAGAACCAGGGTGAAAATCCATTTGCCAAGCAAAAAGCACTTTGGGGCAGGCCCCTGTGCTGAGAAGTATCATCCAGACACACAGCTTAGGAACCACCATGGGGCAAAAGCCACTTTGCCTGCTTGTTTCTATTCTTCAGGTGCCTGGCTGACTCACAAGAGAGGGCAAAAAAAGGAAAATGGTTGGCCATGAAGTCTGTCTTGGAGCACAGGACAGGCAAAAGACTTAAGACCCCAAACTCCCACAGAGACATCTGTGTTCAGGGTCCCTCCCTCAGGTTGCTCAGAAGCTCGCTATGCTAGTAAGATGAGGAAGAGCTGTCTTGACAGTGTTCATTTAACACACAAACATTGACCCAGTGACAATGGGAGAACGGAGATTTTCAGGGGACAACTATGTTCAAGGGACCAGCTCTATAGGAAAGAAGTTTCCACAGCTCCAAATCACACAGTGTCTTCTCCTTCCACAAAGCTCAAGTCTTTCCCTCTCTTCCTGGCCATGGAACACCTGCCACACAAAAAGCCCGGATTCTTGCAGATTCACCTTTTGGGGCTTGCATTCTCTGACTTAGCTGGGTCCTCCACAACATTGCTCTCTATGAGGCTTTTTCATAACAGGACTCCCATTCAGGACTGCAGAAGGCACCCTCTGCTCACCCTCAGGGCTTTCATGCACCAGCAAGAAGCAGGAGAGGAAAACCCAGCACTGCTGCTCTAGCAGTAGGGTTCTCAAGCCTGTGGGCCACTGTGGTGGAGCTACCACATGCCCCACTTCACCCTCCCAAACTCCCCACTCACTGTATAACCACAGCTCCTTGCCTATCAGCTCCCTCTGGGCCCGCAGTAGGCTCTGCAGCCTCCAGTCTGTGCGCATGTGCTCCACATGCCCGGCCCTGTAAAATAAGATTGCAACATGTCATAGACATCCTGGGAGTACTGCAATGAGGTCAAAGCATGGGCTTTAGGAGTAAGGCTTGGAAAGGGTCTGGCACCTTAGACTCCAAGCAACAAGCTCTTTGTTGAGCAGGAACTGAACAGCCAAGAACGCCTTCCTGAAAAGCTTCACCAAGAAACTCTGGCTGAAACAAGCAGCCCTGCAAATCTCTCCCAGAGCCCATGGATACTGCTGTTGCATACAGGAGGAGGTAAGGCAAGGCCAGACACCATCAGTGAGGCCCCAGCCTGGAGCAAAGCATACCCAAGGTCACACACACTTCCAAGCAGAGCCTGGTTGGAAGAGAGGGAAGGCACTGCTACACAGCTGGAGCCAGAAAGGAGAGAGCAGAGGCGAGTCCAGGAGGTGACAGTAAGCTGCCACCACCTGTGTGGCTGGCAATCCTAGTCCACCTCTTCCCAATCCCCACCCTGGAGGAACAGGACATGGACAAGCCGCGAGCAGTGCAGCCCCCAGTGCAGGTGACTCCAGTCCCACAGCTCCCCCTTTCCCAGGGGAATCTCCGCAGGCATCAGGGGGTCACCCACCACCCGAGGAGCGCTCTCACGGCCAGGTTGAGTCAGTAGCAAGGAGGCACATCTTGGCTCTAAACCACCACCGTCAGCAGCAAAGCTCCTTCTGGTCCTTTGCAAGGGCTGGGCTGCCCTCAGGTGGCAAAACGCAGAGAGTGCTCCATGTCTCGCTCCAGACTCCCACCTGCCGCGACAGCTATTGCCCCCACCACCCAAAACACACTCTTGTGCCCAGCACACACCCATGCTCCCATCATGGTCCACACAATGGGAGAGTCACTGGGGCCCGGAGCTGCACAAAAAAAATACAAATCACTAGTTTTGAAGAGTCTCAGTTCTAAAGATTCTCGGTTCTTAGAAAAGTAAATTTTGTTCCTCAAAAATACACACAGTTAAGAATTCAACTTGGCTTTACTGCCCCACAACCCATCTCAGGTAACTACTGCGCTGCAATCTTTGCTGCCAAGTATTCGGAAAGGACAAAGCCTTGGACACAAGGGTGAGGAAGGCACGGGGGACCAAAGCTATTATTTCTTTCACAGATGAGGAGAGATCGCTATATTGGCTTTGGCTTTTCCTCGCATTCAGTTCACTTTTAAAGCAAGTTTGCCAAAGGCTTAGAAACCAAAGAAGTATAAAGGTGACATTGCTCAGGTTTTGCTTCTTCCTTTACCAAAACAATAGTTAGGCAGGTGCAAAAGGACAAGATCTAACAGCTTCTACAAGCTAGAGAAGTCCAGCAACCAAAACCAGCCACTTGCCACGTGCTCCTCCTCTTGCAGGATTCTAAGAATGCAACCTTTTAAAAAATTCCTTTATTTTTAATTAAAATTCATACCATGAAAACACCCGGTTTTGTGCAATTCAATTAAATTCTAGTTTCCCACCAAGGGAAGCTTTCCTACTAACGAACTGTACTGAAGTAAGACACTCCATTTCTGGTATCATCATTCACCTTCCATTTTCTACTTAGTAATGGAATTAAAAAAAAATGCAAAATTGTGAGGAAAAGTACGGCAGTTTAAATATGAGCATGTAATTAGAGAATCTTCTCCATTAAGAAAAAATATCATCAACCAGTAAGAATCAACCTGTCCACAAACAAATAAACTTGCCAATGCAAACCAAGATTGATTTCAAATATCTAAATCAGAGTTTCATGCCTGTCAATATAAATCTTTATGAAATTGGTGATTTTGAATCAAACCACTTTGGGGACAGCACCACCACACTCGAAATGCTCAACGACTACAGCATGAAGTAGCCAAAACCAGATCACAGGCAAGGAAGACCAGAGACAGGACACCCACTTCTTGAATTCCTGGAAGAACTGCAATTTCACAACACACAGGGAAAAGGCAGACACATGACAAGAGAGAAGCAACGACCTCCTGCCAGCAACCAGGTACCCCAACACAAGCTACAGTAAAATTGTTGCCCTTTTTCTCGGTTCTAGCCATTTCTGTGAAACACTTTGAAGACTCCAAACAGCAGCTCCACGGACTTCAAGGCATCACCAAGCAGGGAGGTGCTGCCAGGCTCCCGACTGTGTGCTCAGCTCTGGGGTAAATGGCACTGAGCAAATTCAGAGAGCAGCAGTACAGTGTCAGGAAGGTCAGGGCACAGACTGACCTAGAGGAGCATGCAGAGATAAGGAGGCCAGACAACAGCTAGCATACTCACAGAAGACACACAGGTTATCAGCAGCAGGATTGAGCCAGAAGCGACCTGCAGCAGGTCCCCAGGGGAACACCCTGACAAGATGCAATGAGACCTTGAGCAATCTCACAGGTAAAGACCTGGCAAAACATCAGCAATGGTCTCTAAGCCAGCACCAAATCTGTACCAGGCCTCTGGGGATGTCAGAAGGGAAGCAAAAGAAAAAATAGTTGTCTCCAGCTGCTGCCGAGTATTTCTGCAGACAATACGCAGAATGCAAAGGAGAACAGTATCAGGGCTGTCTGACAGTGCAGCAGGATGGAGAAGACAGAAAGTTCCAACTGCAGCAACATGACTTGGAGTCCTCTAGGATACATCAATACAACAAGGATGCACTGAGCTGGGAGGATCCTCACGAGGATGTAAAGAAATGGATGCTACTAACCTGTAGAAAGCAGCTGGTTCTGCATTTACACGAATCTGCATGTGCTTGAACCTGGACAACCCAAAAAACATCATCAGGATTGTGCACAAATACCCAGCAAATTATGCACACAACATCCTTGCTAGAGAAAACTCATCTTGTGTCTATCAGAGCACTGAACTGAGGCATCTCTTGACTGAAATGCTCAATAGGCTCAAAAAGGCACCAAGGCTTAGCACAACGTGACATCATTCAGGGCCAGCCCAGTGGCACATTTGTTCGGTTTCCCACTCTCTGTTCACATCTTCTTAGCCCTTGGGCCTCCTGTTTGCCAGCCCAGCATCTCCACCACACAAAATCACCATAACCAACTGCCCTGCTCTGGGCTCCCCTGTGCCACATTAGCTTCGGTTGCTGCCCCTGAATGCCCCGAGCCCCTGGGAAAGCTGCAAAGCCCCTGCCACGCACCCAGACAGGGGAAGGGGATGAGATTAGTTACAAAGCATAGGCAAAGACTGTGCACTGTATTTTGGGTACTTCATGAAGGTGGTGGTGAAGCAGAAACCTGTCAGTAGATGCAGTTCCCTGAACGTGCATCTGCACCCAAGGAAGCTCCATGGGCAGTTTTCTCCAACATACTCAATGCCCTCACAGAAGCAACAGCAATGAGCAGGCAAGCAGCCCGGAGACTGAACCAAGGGCACTGCCTGCCATGACACAAGGCAGTGAAAGGGGTGGCAGGGGTTCAGTACAGGGACCCTGGGGCAGCACTGCACAGGCAGGTTTCTCTGAGTGTGGGGAAAGTCACAGACAAGAGAAGCAGCTGCAGCTGCGTACAGAGCACTGAATGGGGACAAAAAAAGCAGCTTTTGCAGGAGCTGCCAAGAGGTGGTGAAAATGCGGCTCTCCTGGTACTCACCTGAAATCCCCCTCCAGTTTTTCCTGCTGCACAAGTTTAGACACAATTGGGCTCATCAATACCTTGTTGACGATCGTCCCAATGACGAAATACCCAAAGATGCTCACTGGGCCTAGCCAGCCTGTGCTACAGAGGAGGAGAAAGAGAGGTCAGCTAATAATCCAAGCAGAAGGACAACCCAGGAATCCTTGGGCTCAAGCAGTCAGAGCCCTTAACTTTGTCACCTCTCTTGGCTTTCACAGAGGTCTGGGGGCCAGCACTGCACACCCTAGCATCCCCCTGGCAAAATTCCTTTTGGAGTGCAGATTCCACTCACCCACATATACAAGTGTCCATCTGGGGAGTTGTAATGTGGGTGCCGGGCTCCAAAAAAGAGCATAGGAAAGATGTGTGAAAGCAGGGCCAGGATGAGTCCTTACCTGTGGAAGCACTGGTATGTGTAGTAGGCCAGTGTGAAGGGCGAGACGATGAGCTTGCTGGCCATGGAGCTGAGCTGCCTGCAGAATCTCTCCACATCCTGGCTGATGCGCTGGTCCCTGCTCAACACAAAGAGCCATTGACACTGTTAAAGCCCAGGAGCAGAACCAGTACTAACTCCCTAACAGGACAAAAGCCAGGCTGTTTCACTGCCTGAACATAGGACAGGTTGCAGGTGAACAACCTTGCCTGGGAGGCACCTGCAGCTGTGACTCTGGTTCCCCCATATGAGACTACTTCCATGGCCCTGCAGGACCCACCCAAGGGCCTTCCTGGCACCCAGGAAGAACAGCTCCTGCAGTTACTTTCACTCTGTTCCTTGTATTAACCCCTTGTTCCACTTTCAACAACACTGTCCAACTCTGTGCTAAAGGTTTCTGCATCCTTGTCCTTTACTCCTCTCCTGGACCGACCCCTGTACTACAAAAGCTACTGACTCTCCCCACTCCTGTACTACCAAAACTACTGGCTCTCCCCCAAACCTTCAGGACTGGTGCTGCATCTCAGGCACCAGAGCTGCCAGGACTGGCTTCGGGCACAGGCCAGGCCTTCACCAGCTGCTAGATATTTGCAAATGCTTCCATCAAAGCCACCCTTCCACAGTAGCTGGTCCCTTTGCTCTGCATGGAGTGCCCTCTGGTCCCTTTGCTGCAAGAAGAGTGCTTCCATCCAGCCCCATCCCACAAGAGCAGGCAGCAGCGCACCAAGCCTCCTTGCCACATCAGCAGCAGGCCCATGTTTGACAGGCCCTCAAGTCCCATCTGTCCCATTGCTGAGCAGGTGTTGCACTTGGTGTAACTAGAAAGGATTTCAGCATATTTACTCCCTCGGCACCTCATCTGTCCAGCGCATGTGGATGAGGGCTTCAGTCTGATGCGCTAAGCACAGGTGGAAAGGCCATGACTGTGAATGCTGGACGACTCCTGAAGCTATCAGTGCAGATACAACCACAAGGACGTTCATCTCTCAACTCCTTTGCAGTCCTGGAACACCAGTGGATTTAATTCTGGGGTAGCTTTCACCCTGACTAAACTCAGAGTCATCATTTTTCCTTTTCCTTACACTGTAATTGTCCCCATAAAGTTATAATTTCAGTCGTGCTATAGACTCATGCCAGGATATTGCTTTTTATGAGCTATTAAGCAACATGTAATGACAACACATAAACATCAACTCAAACGCTCTGCTAGGAGCTGCAAGTGTTTGTATGCCGCTCAGAATCCACTCTTCATTCTTTCTAGATGGATGATACTGTGCATCTAACACTCGCTTTCGTTTCACTGCATAATGGCAGGTCACTTTGTCCCTCTAGTTCATTCTCTAAGTACCGAATGCAGGAAAAATATTCTCACCAAGCAATTGCAAGATAAAGAGAATTTTTGTAGCGGCACCAAAAGAGACAGTAAACAATAAGGCTGGATGTTTGAGCAGAAGCAAGGTGGTAGTGAAAAATACTTGACAGCAATCCCGCACGTTCAGTCTGCTAAGGTCAGGACAGCTGGCTCCATCACTGTGGAGCAGTTCGACCCAGTTATCTCATGCATTTCACTGCACAACGTGAAAACATTCCCTGGTTAAAAATAAACCTGAGCAGGATAGTCACATGGTGAGGGGCCTCTGTCCTCTCCCCTCCGGCTCCCCAAGGATAGGGCAGGCATGCAGGAACTTCTGGCCACCACCAATGTACTACACTGTCTGGGAAGCGCTGCATGCCTTGGTGACAGGCACAGCTTTTAACCTCTCCTTTCAACTCCATACCTCTGCAAAACACTATCAGAAATGAACATTTAACGAAGGTGGGAGTAACCCTGACAGAAGCTGCAAAGCGCATCAGCATCATGAAGCTCTGATTTCACTTTTGGCAGTAGGGCTGCTTGACACAAGCTAAGCCCTCTGCTTTCTTCCTGCTCCCCCTGCGCACAGGTGGTGGCTCTTACTCAGGCTGTCTCCTAGCACTGGGCCAGCAGAAGCAGCCTGGGAGCAGGTCTGGCTGAAAAAAGATATAGACAAAAAACCCACCCAAGATACCCAACACAATTTCACCCTGCAGCCACACAGACCACCACGCTGTGCAACAAAGGGGCAAGGACAGGCAGCCAGAAGCACATAGACTGTTTCAGTTCCTTGAGGTCACAACTATTAGCAACAGTCAGGAGTCCCTGCAAGATTTCTCACAAGGAGAACAGGCTTGATCTGCTCTAATGTCATCAATGTGGGAGATGGCACCAGTGCATGGCTAGACCAGAGGTGCCCTCTCCAGGGGAGGGGAGCTTCGGGTCTCAAAACAACTTGGAAAAAGTTATTCTCTGGTTTCCAGTTTTTCAGCGAGTATTCAATACTAACTTCTTTAAGCTATAGAGCGGGGGGAAAAGACCTCTACCTCTCACATGATACCTAAACGTACAATCTTTAACTCTTCAAAGTGCATAACTATGACAGCAGTGCCTTGTGTGCAAGAACAGGCGGGAAGGCCAGGGTCAGCACACAGTTGTGAGAAAGTGTTCAACCTCTGCCACACAGCCCAGGTAGATCAGCAGCTCTGCAGTAAGCAGGGCAGTGCATGAAGCAAACTGGAAGGGGATCTCAGGGTGAGCTGGTATAAGCAAGGATGGACTGAATGCTCCTCCTTCTCTCATATTAGAAGTCATCCCTGACATTTCCTTCCTAGGAATAGGAAAGGGGAAATGCAGCCCACATACAGTGCAAAACAAAGCCCTTCCAGAACATGGCTCCCATGGGTTATCAAAACCACTAAAACCCCAACAAAACAAAACTGTTCAGCTGGAGACTCTGGTGGCTGAAGTTCAAACAGAACAACAGGGACCGTCCTAATGCGCTGGCTGTGTGAAGGCAGGGAGAGGCAGTGCTCTCTGACTCCAGTCAGGCACTTTGCAACGTCACAGTGTCAAGGGTCGAGTTTACAGATAACATGTTTTGCTGGACCTCCATTCTCCTGGCAACAGAAACATCCTACCCCTAAAAACATCACAACCAGCAGTCACAGGAGTTCCCAGCAAGAGGTACCACCTCCCACCCAGGGCAGATAAGGGTATTTCTGCCTAGATGCCAACAGCTTCTAGGGCTCAAGCCCCTACCCAGAGACACAGAGATGTCAGGAAAAGATGCGGAACAGCCCAGGAGAAGCCAAGCAAGAGGCTGAGAGAAGCCACAGGCAGCCTACGGGTTATCGATGTCCTCGCGCAGCACGTGCAGGCTGTAGTAGACCTGGCCTCGGAAGTAGCAGCTGTGGAGGTATTCGGTGAGGGACTTCCTCCAGGTCACGTACATCATGTTGCAGATAAACTGGTCAAAGCTTTTTAGCTGGAACAAGGGCAAGGAGACAGATGGGAAGAGATGAGTGAGAAGCACTTAGCAAAATGAAATAAAAAGTAACAGTTTGTACCAGTCCCACATGTAGCTACTTAATAGGGCAAGGGCAGACCTAGATCCTTCATCACCAGGATCACGCTGGGAGCCACGGGCAGGTTTCCCCTCTCCTCCCAACACACGGGAACCTCTGGGCTGTCTTACCGTGGAGTTCACTACGATCAGGGTCAGGGCAACGGCAGTCAGTGTTTTGAATCCGGAGAAGTCCTTGCTCCCTAGGACTTCATAGTACTGGCTGGGGATGACGCCGACCTGGTAAATAACCAGCTGCTCTGGAGGAAAGAGGCAAGCACGGCAAGGAAATGAAGGGCAGCGGTGACACGGCAAAGGGGGAGACGGGCAGGGGAGACAGGGGGAACGGGGAGCAGACATGGGGAGCAGACGTGGGGTTGAGCCCCCCCCCATCGCCCGCACCCCACGCTCAC